CTGCATGCCCCACAAACCCCTATCATTTCCCATGGCCTGCCCTCCCTGCAATACTGCCCTACCCCAGCAGTGGGGAGCACACATCTGCCTCCCCTGTGATCCCTACCCCCACACCTGCTGCACCCCTCTCGTGCACTAGCACAGCCCTACCCATCAGCACGTGTTGCTCCTGCTCCTCGCGGTCCAGGGCATGTGTGGTGACAATAAGCCCTGTCTGTGGGTGGATGGAGAACGGCCCCCCAGAGAGACCTCCATAGGACACCTGCCCATTGGCACCTGCAAGGAGGAACAAGGTTTGAGGGAAGCCTATCAGCAACTCCAGAAGCCTCTCATTTGGCTCACAGCCCTGCACCTCTCTCCTCCCAGGCTTCCCACTCAGGGGTCACGCAGACTGTGGGAGAGGATGATCTCACTCCCTGGCAAGTAAAGCTGGGGCAGAGATGTGTGGTAGAGGGAGGTCCCAGCCCAGCTTGTGGAAGGGAAGATGGGCCAAGGAACCTCCAAGGAACAAACGCCATTGTCTTGGGGACTTAGAGGGAATCACAGTCCCTGTTCTCATTCCCAGCTTCTCCCAGGTTTCAGCCCATCTCTCATCTCAAGGCCAGGTGATGATCCTTGCCTCTCCATGGTGAGTCAGGCTCTCCAAACCAGGTGGAAGGGAGCAGAGTGCACCCAGTCCTGGGTTCTGCATCTCCAGAAGGGCCCCTGACCAAACTGAGCAGCTCACCCTCGCCCTGCATCCTCACCCAGGTCCCGGTCTGTGGCCAGCACCTGCACCACAGGGCTGCCAGCTGGCAAGTTCTCCATGATGTGTGCTTCATACTCAGGTTTTTCAAAAGTGGGAGCCTCATCATTGACATCCAGCACCAGCACGGACAGTAGCTGTGTGGCAGAGCGGCGTGGGAAACCATGATCCATGGCCAACACGGTCAGGTTGTGCTGCACCACCTCCTCCCGGTTCAGGGCCCGCACAATGGAGAGTGCACCTGCAGACACAGGGAGACGGGTGACCTGTGACCACATGGCACCAGGGATGACTGTTCCCAGGACAGAACTATTGCAAGGCTGCAGGCACTGGGGTAAGCCAGGTACGGCCAGGTCTCAAGAGAGACAGCAGTATCATGCCAACCAGGTGCCAACCAGGTGCTATGCTCGGGGCTCTCTGCACCCCACAATTCTCCCTCTTCCGGGTTCCCCAGCCCACACCCTCCTCCTCTGCACCAGGCTACATCCTCATGTGTCCCCGCACCCTCTTGAGCCCTTGCGTTCCCAGTGTCCCTGCCACCCACCCTGCATCCTCCTGAGACCTCACCAGTGCTGGGGTTAAGGTGGAAGCGGCCATCACTGTTGCCTGCTCGCAACGAGTAGCTCACACGCCCGTTCTCTCCCAGATCATTGTCCTGGGCCACCACATGCAGCACCACAAAGCCTGTTGGCTGGTCCTCCATGACGCTGACAGCAGCAGGTGAGAGGAACACAGGCGCGTTGTCATTCTCATCAGTCACAAACACACGGGCTGTGACAGCTGCCGAGCGGCGCTGACTGATGTTGCGGGCCTGGTCTGTGGCCTCCACCACCAAGAGGAAGGAGGCAGCAGCCTCCCGGTCAAGGCCCTGGCGAAGGGTCAGCAGCCCCGAACGGCTGTCAAGTTGGAAGGGAGCCCCAGGGGGCTCCTGGTGCAGCAGGGTGTAGCGCACCTGGCTATTGGGACCCACACCATCCCCGTCCAGCGCCTGGAAGGTGAAGATGGATGAGCCAGCCTGGGCATTCTCGGGCACCACGATGGTGATGGGGTCTTCAGGGAAGATGGGCGCCTGGTCATTGCAGTCCTGCACGTGGATCTGTACCAGAACCAGTCGGCTGGAGGGATAGCCATGCTGCATGTCCTCAGCACTCACCTGAAGCACGTGCCGTGCCCCAGCTTCATAGTCCAACTCCCGGGCAGCGTAAATCTCCCCTGTCACACTGTCAACCACAAACGTGCCATCCCCACCACCTCCGACCACCGTGTAGGTCAGCTGTCCTTGCGCAGGGGCATCTGGGGGTGCCACTGAGCCGATCACAGACCCCGGCTTGACCCCCTCAAGGGGGTGCAGGGTCAGCACAGTGGCATCAGGCCGTGGCAGCACCCGGGAGGATGGCAGTACCTGTGAGGAGAGGCAGCAGTGAGGGGCATGCGCTAGGGTGCTGTGTGCCATGAGGTCCTATTGGGGAGCCAGTAGAGAGGGACATGGGGCCTGCAGAGAGCAGGTGTCAGGAGGCAAGGCCTCAGCTCTTGTGGCCTAACAGATGAATAGCAACCTGAAAAACATACTGGGCATAAGCATGGGTTTGACAGGGTGAAAAATGAGCTTCACCTGGGGAGCTAGGGTAAGTAAGGACAGACAGAGATGCTGACTGTGCAGAGAAGGCTCAGGGGGGATCTTATCAACGTTTACCAGTACCTGAAGGGAGGCTGCAAAGAGAATGGAGCCAGGCTCTTCCCAGTGGTGCCCAGTGCCGGGACCAGAACTGGCTGGACACAAGCTGAAACACAGGAGGTTCCCTCTGAACACCAGGAAACACTTTTCACTGTGAGAGTCACCGAGCACTGGCAGAAGTGCCCAGAGAAGTGGTGAAGCCTCCAACCTTGGGGACAGTCAAAAGCCATCTGGACATGGTCCTGGGCAACTGACTCTGGGTGGCCCTGCTTGAGCTGGGTGGTTGGACAAGACCTCCAGAGGTACCTTCCCACTTCAACCATTCTGTAAGTCCGTGATTCTATGATTGTGTTAGATACTCTAAAGGCAACAGACACCAGCAGAAACAATTCTGCAAAACATAAGCAAGACTGGGGAAGAAGAGAGGTAACGCTCATCCAGATGAGAGGTACCAAGAAGAACGATAACCCAGTATGACTCTAAGATAAGTAAATACTATCACTACTTTTATTAAAGATACTTAAGTTAATTTGGGGATGAGGTGCGCCTGTGGATGGGAAAGAGGATACATCAAAAGCCATATCTGAAAGGAAAACGCGTTGAAGAACTCAGTGCGCTCATGTCAAGGAGCTGGGGAAAAAGGGAATACAGCAAAACTGTCAGCCCAGAGGAGTATCAAAACCAGTGACTGTCAAGCAAATTGCTACATTATAGGGATGCACATAAGCACTTTAGGGACAACCAGCCTGCCAGCATGGCCTTAACACTTTGAAGGCTGTGGAACAACTTTAATGACAAGAACAGTTACAGACATGGCATGAAAAGGAAGGATAGGCATGGAAGTAGAGGCAGTGGGGTGGCTCTGTGTGTTAGGGAGTGTTTTGATTGTATAGAAATCAACGATTGTGAAGACCAAGTCAAGTGCTTATGGGTAAGGATGAGGGGGAAGGCCAACAAGGCAGATATCCTGCTGGGAGTCTGTTATAGACAACCCAATCAGGATGAAGAGGCAGATGAAGCATTCTACAAGTGACTGGCAGAAGCCTCGCAATCGCTACCCCTTGTTCTTGTAGGGGACTTCAGTTTTCCAGACATCTGCTGGAAATACAACACAACAGAGAGGAAACAGTCTAGGCCTCGCAATCGCTACCCCTTGTTCTTGTAGGGGACT